GACCTGTGTGAACGGAGGAGTGGAAGAGGCAAACAGACAAGAATAATGAAGAAAGAAGAATTGATGATTGAATCATTATGTCTCTCATGAATATATGAAATTACGGGATAGGTCACTATGATTTTCCATAATAATATTGTGATCTTCAACGCAAGATTCACCCGCTCTACCTTCATCTCAAACATTCTCTCTATTCACACTATAGTCTATATAAATGCAATCCACAACTCTCGTCTCAATTAATATTATTTAAATAATCTGAGATGATTATAACGTAGTATCTGTTCAGAATCTTTATCAACTATTTAAACTTACTCACTCTACAAACACAACTGTTTAAACCCAAGATTTTTAGAGAAAATAACACTCTTTTTTACCTCAAATTAAAATTAGTGCATGTGAGTAGACAATTAAAACAATCAATCTTTCATTATTATTTGATAGTAGACTCACTAAGAAACTATTAGTGTATTGGTCTATAAAACAACATACGTTAGTAATGACAAATAAACATCTAATAATGGTTTAGACATTTTTGTTTCAAGTTCGATGTAGAGAAGCGTCACAAAAAGTGTCTTTGATATTTAACTTGCATCACCGACAGAAATGAGTATACGAAGATATTTTGCTAAGACATCTATCAATGATTATTGCTCTATTATTTGTAACGAATTTGGTTTTACCATCACCATCATAACACTTTTTTGTTCATCTCGTCGTACGTATCAAGTTTTTGCCTAAAAATGAATGATGTGCTTCCAACATCACGACTGGCGTCGAGTTATTTGATGGGTGCAGTAAGAACTAGACTCAATCTACATAATATGATCGAGTCTATCTCGTCACTTATGCCAAGACTCAATTAATATTTTTAATTTATGTTATGAAGTTTAAAGTTAGAAGAATGATCCATGAAAGACAATCCTTAATATATATTTATGTGTGTATATGAATGGTAATCAAGTGGATAGATCGCATCAGATTGTGATGATTTTGTGAGATTAGGAGCATGATTTCTGTAGTTGATGACATGGGGCCCATCTTAGAGAATGTTGCTTAATTAGCAAATAAATTTTATAAAAAGGATGTAAACCGTGGAATTAATTAATTAGCGAGTGATATATTTCTAGAAAGAAACGTCAACCTTAACACTTCTTTGTGAAGCGGAGGGTAAATAATACTGGAGAATAGTTACTGATCATTACGTAACAACATGTAGATCACTCCAAGATCGAGATGTTTGTCTTATGATTTTATGATAATAAGTACGAATCAAACTATCTCAATAGTTAAAAGATTTGTTATTATTCATTGAAATTTCTAATTTAAGCACCACATATATATGCAGAGATATAAGCGTTTATATTTGTTTAAAAAAAATTTAACTTATAAACAACGCATCTTTAAAATATTATTCGAATCCAAAACATATATGAAAAACAATATTCTTTTCTACTAATGATGATTTTCGTTTATAGGCATAATTACGGAGCATAGATAACCTGCTTAGTGATCCCCAAAAGTCACTAATTATATATATTATAGTGGTGATTATAGTATAGGGTACTTTTGCTAGCGCGTATTTTAGGGTGTTTTTTAAGTTCAATTAATATATTATTATTGTGTTTTATAAGAATACATATTTTAATACATGAGTTAACAACAAAGTATCTTTATTTGGTAAATTTAATAGAATCGGTAAATATTATTTAATTTGAATATGTTATTATAAGATTATGTTATCATATAAAATAATATTAATATGTTTAAAATGATGGTTAGTGAAATTTTGTGGGACCTTTAAGGATTAGCATAGCATCTCATTGAAGACAAGTGAATTCCTCGATGACTCCACGCCTGAAATTTCTTCTAGAAGAAAAGAGCAATTAGTCTTTGATTAGCATAATAATGGGATTTTGTGAAGGTTTAACTAATAATCAAATCAGTATAATTTGACTGGTTTCACCAAACATACCACACGCCCATTGTTTCATATACAATATGTATAAATCCACAGATTCAATAAATACTCATCAATTCGATTGGTAGTTTTCTAGGCTTGTGCACTTGCTTTTTCATTTGCATTTCTACGTCTTTCACTCTCAATTTGCTTCATCTGATCCTTGTCTATTTTTTCTTACTGTTAGGCCAAGTTCAGTAGTTTGAGCTACTACATTTTAAAATTATTATTTTTAATGTTAGATCGGTGTTAAAAAGATCGAAGAATACCTTTGCATGCTTAATAAAATTATCCAAATGAATCTTATTATAATAAGATATAATACATAACTCTTCTTTCAAATTAGAAATGGTGAATCGTAACATGAGAAAAATGAAATTAAATGTCAAAGTACGAGAATAAGTAAAAACGTAATACACCACTGTATAGCGCTCTTTACTATTTCATTCATTATTAAAGAGTATAAAAAAAAGAGTAATAAATATGAAACCTCACTATTTATCGATGGTACGAAGAACAAAACTTAATATATCAAACCTTGAATCTTAAAATTGTTCTTAAGATATTTACTAATTCAAAAAACAAAATAGAATATAATTAGAAAAGATAGATATAATACAAAAAAAAAAATACACACTATGCTACGAGAGATTATAAGTCCTATCCCTCTTTCTCTCAACTCGAAATATATGTTCATATCAAGACGACTGAATTACATATCTCTTATCTATAATCACATATCATAAATTATCACTTCACCTATTGTAAATCAATAAACTATATATTTTAACTATAAATAGGGTAAAAGCTTGAGTGAAAATCCAACTTCCATTCGCACTAATGCATTTTATATAAGAATCTTAGTTAGGAAAGGAATATATGATATTATGCAAATTAAAAAGTTTTTTAAAAAAGTGGCAGGGTTGTAATTAGGAGATGAATTTCAATTATGAAGTAATAAAGGAGATAAAGCCAATGACAGATGATGATGAAAAGGACTGTAGCTTTAGTGGGACTCATCCATGGATGTCTTTCTCAAACCCATTTTATACCCAAAACAGAAGCAGACAGATAATAGAACACAACACAAATGTTTTATCCTATTCAACTTGATGAAGACAGCTTGTATATCCAACACTTGTCACAAAGTTAGCCATGCCAAATGGCAAAGGGCGGCGCACCAAACACAGACAGAACTGAATTGTGGGATGGAATATTCAATTATTTTCATACTAATAACAATACTAGCCAGTAATGTTTACATTCTATATGGTTAAAATACACATTCAATATAATGTGTATACAATTTATTTTAATATATTTGAAAATTATATTGTTTAGGTCAAGAGTTAAATAAATAGTAATAATTTATATTGGTTTTATTATGTTTTTTTGTGGTTGAGTTGTGTGGAAAATCTTAGGACATAAAATTGCGATGGGAAGAGAAGGTTGTGGGTGGCGTGCAAATTTGGTGTCACGCCGTCCAAACAAACCTTTAGTATCATTCATCCATTGCTGTATCTATGCATCTGCCACCCCACGCGCAATCAGTAGCCTCTTTCCTTCCTGCCAACTATATATATATATTTATATCCTCACTCTTTGTCTTTACATCAAACATTTCACCACTTCTCTTCTCTTGCATTCATCATCATCTTCTTTTCCACACACATATATATATAACAACTCTCTCTCCCTTTGCAAAACTAACACTGCCTTAAAAATTCTCTCATTCCAATCGTCCCGCAACAGTATATTCAAGGATCCCAGTATTTTCATCTTGTGAGTATTCATATGTGTGTGTGTTTAATGTTTATCATATATAGGAGCTCCCCTCTGCAATCTGCAGCACTGCGATTAGGGTTTGTCATGCATATAAATTCAAAAGTATATTGATTTCTCCTGGTTTGGTTTCTATATCATGCATTCTAGATCAAGTAACATTAATGTGGTAAGTGGATCTGAATTGGAATAAGCTGGAGAAGATGAAGCTTTGAGAACCCACCACCATCATCATATATAATGGTTTTAAAATAGAGGTTTAAAGCAATAGAACGGCTATATCTATGGGTTCGATTCCTAACATTTAATGAAACAAATTAGGTTAAGAGGATCATGCATATTAGAACTATCCGGTATCCTATCCGGAGCAATCAATTAAAAAAAAAGAGGCCGGCTATATCTAGGGAGGTAGTTTGTGGGGCGTGAAAGCATATTATCCACCAACACCACCACGGAGTGCACTGCACTCAAAGAAACACCATGCTTGTTTGTGCCAACAAAAAAAGTCAAGCTTTTCGGCACTAAATTTTATTCATTTGCCCCCGCCTAAGCTCATGCAACTCGACCAAACAGTAAACGTAACACTACTCTTAGGTTAAAACTTAAAGCCCATTCTTTTCGTTTATTTAGTGGATTCCATATAGCATGACATTCTCTGCTTCTTTCTTTTTATTTTATTATGGGATTGGGAAAAAAAAGCATGCAGAGGCCAACCAGCTTTGGGTCCCCTAAAGTTACATCTTAATCATCATTGATCACCAACTATATAATAAAAAGAAATAGCTACTCTTTTCAAGTCAAGAGTTGAGGAATGAAGCTTGCAATTGCATACATTATGACAATAACATGTATAGGCAAAACATGTGCGTTTACTTCCATTATCCTTTGTAAAATGCATTGGCAATTTCTTTCCTTCCAACTTGCCCTTGTTTTTAGGCTTACACCAAAAACTAACTTCAACCCTGTGTTTGTTGGGGCACAAATATATATATATATATAGGGATAAGATACTGTTACCTAATGTAGTTTTACACAAATTTAGGATTGTTACATGGTGAAAATAGATGGTTGAGATTAATGGTATGAAATGATAAGATATTCACTGAAAAAGAAAAAAATAAGGAATCAGTCTCGGTAATTTGATTTTACTAATCTAACGGTCCTAAATATATGTAAAACTAAAGAGTTTTACATTGTGTAAGTTGATCCTAAACCATATATATATATATTCACATAATCCCACACATTAATATTTTGTTCATGTTTTCCAGGAGTAGATCCATGATGGAATTGGAATCATGCGTGCCACCAGGCTTTAGATTTCATCCTACTGAGGAAGAACTTGTAGGTTATTATCTCCAAAGAAAGATCAATTCACTCAGAATTGATCTAAATGTTATTGTCGAGATTGATCTATACAAGATGGAGCCATGGGATATCCAAGGTAAATTTACTGAATAAACCTGTGATGTTTCTGAGATCCATTGGTTCTATCCTAGCTAGGGTTTGAATAAAGACATAAAAACACGCACGCATTCTTTTTAGTCCGATTCTTTTCTTTCTCTTAGTCATAAACTAAAGTAATCAATGTAATGATATATACATGACCATGCCATGACATAGGGTCAAAGAGATATTTTGAAAGATGATATGTTCACACTAATGTTCCAAAACCAGGTTTATCTATTGGCTAATACAAGTGGTTTGGGTTTGGTGTTGTGCAGCAAGAGGGAATGGAGAACAAAGCGAGTGGTACTTCTTCAGTTATAAAGATAGGAAGTATCCAACAGGAACAAGGACCAATAGAGCCACTGCAGCTGGGTTTTGGAAGGCAACAGGGAGGGATAAATCTGTGCTTTCAAAGAACAAAATTATAGGGATGAGAAAGACCCTGGTTTTCTACAAGGGTCGTGCACCTAATGGTAGGAAAACCGATTGGATCATGCACGAGTATCGACTCCAAACTTCTGAACTTGGACCGCCCCAGGCAAGTTTAATTTTTCATTTTTTTTTGAATTGTCTAGGACTCTGGGATGATTACATCTAGTATTTGTTTAAAATCTTTCTTAATTATTTACAACGGGCACTCACCTCACCTTACATATACATATATGTTAATGAAGGTGTTTATATATGAGTTTATTCCGATTGCAGGAAGAAGGATGGGTGGTGTGCCGGGCATTTAAAAAGCCAAGTTCTAATCAAAAGCAAGGCTTTGAAGCATGGGGCCATCATATTTCCATATCAGATCATATAGCAACTCCATCGCTTCTTCATCTTCACACGAATCAAGGATCAAGTTTTTATGAATCCTATGGTTCCAATAACCACAATTTTTTGGACAGCCAACAACAAGTCATCGAACTACCGCAAATGGATAGTCCCCCCATTACTGTCTCACCAAGTTTAGCAGAAAATGAAGTTTTCCGGTGCGAGGTAGAAAAGAGCAATAATAATAGCAGTCAAATACAAACAATCGACTGGAATAATTTTGACAACTTTTTCAACTCTCAGCTGATTGATACAACAACTTATCCATATCAAAGTACTGCAATATCACAATCCCAAAACGATGAACTAGAAGCTCAAGTACAACACCATCTGCTAGGTTGCTTCCATGAATCATAGCGGAAGAAGCAAAAAGTTCATCAACTGATTTTATGCTAGTATGCTGATTCATATAACTAAAACTCTTGTCTCAAATTAATATTATATATATATATATTGTAATTAAGTTTGAAAATCCTTGATCAGATTTACAAAAATATAATTGCAGTGTTAAAACTAGGTTACATATTGTAGTAGAGAAAGCATGGTTTTGTTATGATGAAGAGAGACTTCCTGCATGATATAGGGTGTACGCTGAAAGTTTTTAATTTTTAACAATTTATATATAGGGAGAGGGGAAGGAGAATTTTACTCATAATGGATACTGAACTTATACCCTAAGAGAGATGACAGGCCCAAAGGTTTCAAATCTACCCAAATTTCAAACACTAACTTGGAAGCCTGCCCAAACGAAATCCGTTATCTTCTCATATTTTCCTATTTTCAAGGGTAAATGTATATTTTGGTTCAAATTATAATTTATTGTTTAAATTTAATATGAAAATTTAATTTTCAGTTCAATTTGATATTTTTTATATAATTAAGTACTTAAATTTTAAATTTAAATTAAAACTTTTAACTTTTTGATTCAATTTATTACTTATGATTTTATGTCTAATTAATTATTATATTTAAAATAAAAATATATTTTAAATTATTTTAAATTATTTAGGTTCATGCGATCAGAATAAATTTAAGTTTAAAATAATTTAATTGTATGAAAAAAAAATTAAATTCAGATAATTAAATACATAAATTTAATCATTAAACCAAGTAAAAATAACAATTTGAATGGAAAAATCTAATTAAAAAAGTTTATGTACCAAATTGAACTATAAAACTAAGCTCAGGTATCAAAAATATATATTTACCTTGATTATAACCATGGCATGGGAGACAGATGGGTAAGCTTTATCTTCAACCACTAACAAAGTCCGGTGCTGATTCACAGATCTAGTTCCTTTGATGTTTGAACTTTGAAGACCAAAACTTAGAAGGAAGAAAAAAAGAAAATGCTTCTTCAAACGACAATCTCAGCTCGGCCTTTATATCATCGGAAGCATGCGTGCTTCTCAATAACGCAGCAGCACCTTCATCATTATTACTCGTTCCTCACATCTGGGTCTCTCAACTTCACCCGCAAAAACCTCTTTTCCCAGGTCAAAAACCACTGCCTTTTACTATTTCTTAATACCATTTATTTTCATAATTCTTCATGCCCTAGTTTTTACCTTAATCATCTCAACTTTTTCTACAAAACTCGGCATGCTACAGTAGTACATGTAGGAGGCAGAAATAGATAGATATGGGAATATAATACTTCAAAGAGAGGTCTATGTTCAGCGCATTTTCTAGGAACCATTTCTGGGGTTAAGAGGGTGGCTGTTTTTAGTTACTTTTAACCTTTAGGAGGAAACAATTGTTATTGGGCATGACATGAATTAGTTAAATATTCGAATTGGCTGTCCTAGGCTCATGCCATAGGAACGGTAGTAGGATTTTCTTTTAATGGTACGAACTTAAAAGTTTATATTCGAAATTTAAGGGTTACAGATATACAAAATTCCAGGGTACGAAATTAGATTATTAGTAAAAAATACAAATAAAATACTTAAACTATAAGGTAATTTGAAATTTCCTTGAATCCCTCCTCCCTCGGTACATCCCTGCTGCCTAGCACTAGTACTTGTATATAAACGCCATAAATATAACACCCTCTCTTTCTTTGCCTTTGCCTCTAATGGATTTATGCCAATTCTGATTGGCTCACTTGTATAGATTTGGAGTTTCTAAAATAATTTTATATAGTGGTAAACAAATAAAGGTAAAACGGAAAAAAGAAGAACTAGAAGGAAAGGTTTGATGCAAAATTTCCGTGCATTTAAAAAAAATGACAAGGTGTTCTCAAAATCAATTGTTCTTTCTTTTGTTGGTTAAAAAATTTCTCAGGGAAATAATTAGTAGCAAGGTAATCAAGCTGATGTGCATGTTTGATTGCTTCAATTGGAAAATTTTCCTAACAGAGGGCAAAAAAAACGATATTTACTTGTTTCTTTTACCTTTGTAAAGAACATTGGATAATGCTGCTTTCAATGGTCCAGGCCATTGTTAGGTGCTATCGTCAACCAGCTCTGAAAAACTCAGGGGCAGGCAATGGAGTGAATGACACTAAACTTCTCAACCTACAGGTAAGTGTTTTGTACTCTCTTAGCTCTGTTACCTACTTGGTCTTTCCCTTCATTTTCAGCTCTTTTGTGCATATTCAACTGTTTTTTCTTAAATCCTTAAAAAAAACTGTTTTTTCTTAAAATAAATTTAATTTATCATTTTTCTCACCACTATGACTTTAATCATTTCTACTTGGTGCTTATGCCTATGTATATTGGTCCAAATAAATGTCTTGACTGATCATGAGGAGTAAGGTTTATGAGTTTTGGGAGGTGTAATGTTGGTGAGCTGGGATGATGACGAGTGTTAAGCCCTATTTTAGTTGCAAGAGAGAATGTTCAAGCTTTTTTCAACATCATTGGCAATCTGGATTCAATCCTCATTGAATTTTAGCTTTGGTTTCTAACACTTTATGGGTCAAATAAGGGCTGAAGCTGACAGATTTAGAATTTATCTTTTAATAAGTAATTTTGAACTGGAAGTTTCAAGAAACTAAGCTATCTCAATCTATTGCCTTAAGATCAAAATTTGGTCGAAGGATTCAAAGTTTATGCTGTCCTGCTCAGAAGCCGTGCATTTCAATGGCACTTAGCTTCCACCAATGCGGAGTGGTGGTGGGGAGGCGGGGATGTCAGATATATTCAAGAAAATTCTAGACAGAAAGAGAATTCAGCTGCAAAGTTATCAATGTTTTTATGCTGTTTTTTAGTACAGAGAGAATCATGTTGACATTTTACCCCTTAACCTGATTATATTGGTGATGGTAACATTAATACTCATATGTGTTATATGCTAAACTAGGAACTAAAAGAAACGAAGTTAAATGGTTGCATGTAGTTTTCATTTATAGAAGGCCTAAATCATGCTATGGCATAAACACATAAAAAGGGAGTGTAACTTTTCTGTGGCTTGGACAATGCCCCATCTTCCATTTCCGTCCGTGCCTACTCTGTTGTTATATACCTACTCATGTCACGCTGTTGCGTATATAAAAAATTAAATGTTTGCTACATATGAAAATTGCAGTTTCAAAATTTTAATCAGGCTTTATTTTAGTGAATAGTGGTTAATATAAGATTCTCCGCTAACCCTGACATGATTTCTTATAATTTTTGTTTTCCATTTTTCAATTGATTGTGGATAAAGGCAGATGTTTCAAAAGGGAATGTCAGCAAAATCTTTTACCTCTACACGCTTTGATGGTAATTTCCATTCTCTTTGTTGCACTTTTTAGTATTAAGGTTGTTTAGCTGCTTATCATCCGTGAACGATGAACTTACATGGCATAAAGTGAGAAAGTTTGTACACTTCATTCTTGTTTCCTAGTATATCTAATACATAAAGGATGCGAATGTCCTTCCCTTCTAACATTTAGTCATATATTTTTTCAATATTTTTTCACCCAGCTGATAATACAAAACTTCATTTTTCTGAATTTTATTTGTATTGCATATTTAACTGAATAAACACTCGCTCCCTGCCAAGTCTCAACCTATCTTTTTCATATTTCCCATATAAGAAATTTGTCCTCAAATTTTCAAACTACCATTACTTTTTATGCTCTTTGCTTTCATAGCCCTTCTATGCCTAGATAAAGCCTACTAAGCGCTCAATACTTGGGTGACTCTAAAATTCAGGAAAACAAAATCCCTGATCACAAAGACAAAAATTCTCATAACTTGCATGTATTTGATTGTAGTATTCATATTTTCACAATTTTGCCACTCATATAGGATTTAAGTGGCTTAACATAAGCTGATTGAGTCTTAGCTCAATTGGCAAAAAAACGTTGCTATTGTAACATACAGGAGCATGTGGGTTCGAGGGCTTCGATCATGCTTAAGCATGTCGAACCCTTCGATTTATGGGTGTGAAGGGGTCTGGGTAGTTCAGGCATTTTGTATATAGAAATGGTGGATTAACATGATGTTTATTGCTTAAGTAGCGTTTTCCACCAAGCATTTGTGTGCAATCACTTGTTAAATATTATTTTGATGCGGTCCTCTTATGTGGTTATTTGATGGAACATCATTTGTCTTAATATTACCCTAACTAATATTCCTTATAAATAGTACATATGCAAAAATGTCATGGAGCCGAGCATTTCATTCTTGTGGAGTTTGCTTGAGTTGTGGTAAAACAGCAAGGTTTAATCATGCACTTTTAGATTTGTATTCTTCCTTTCTTAATCTGCCTTACTTTTAGTTGCTATGTTTTCAAAGCATGTTAAACAACATACAGCGATGCAAGCTACAAAATACTTTTACTTGCTATTATATATACAAAGATTTGAAGGGCAAAGGATACAATCACTAGCCTCTAGATTGTGGACATATGCTTTTTGTACTAGTTGGAATCTGAAACTCTTTCGCCGACAATTAACTATACTGCAATGATTAATGCAGTGATTAGTGGTAACATATATTACCCTTGTAAACTTAAGTGGTGTTATGTTGCACAAACTAACTATTAGCGCATCAGCTACCGTCTTTCCTGTTATTTAATTTAATGGCTATATTTTTTAACTATGACTGTCTAATTCTCACCCAAGGTTTTTGCCAAAATAGTAGATGAGAGACATAAAAAATAAATATTTATACTAAGATTCCACCATAATTGCTTGAATTAAATAATTGATGTCACCATTTTGTTGCAGAATCCTTGAAGAACCATCTGGCTATGGTTGATGACTTAAATGTGAAGAAGTCATTAGTTATGGTGCCTGCTTTCCTCTTTGGTCAAGCATTGTGGTTGATTTCTGCACAATTAGCAAATGCAAGTGAAATTACTAACGGAGATTCTGTCTACGAGATTGGAGAGTTGTTTGAGTTAGGAATCCAGCTATCTTATCTGCTTTTACTACTAGGTTTCCTTGGAGTCGGAACCTTCTTTGTAATCCGTCAAGTACTTGTACGTAGAGAACTTGACCTTTCTGCTAAAGAATTGCAGGTAAGAATCTGTTTTCCCATGCAAAAGAATGGTAATTAACTTGCTCTGCAATTATGTTTATTTTACATTTCTAAGTGTCTATGATGGTTAATTCTAGTTACCATAATAAAACGGAAAGCAAAATGGGTAAGACTTTCAACACTTTGTTCTTGGCGTCATGCTGAGCTTTCAGGAACAAGTCAGAAGTGGAGATGCCAGTGCAACTGAGCTTTTTGAGCTAGGTGCCGTTATGCTGAGAAGGAAATTTTACCCAGCTGCGAATAAATTTTTGCGTCAGGCAATAGAAAAATGGGATGGAGATGATCAAGATCTTGCCCAGGTATGATGTCATTTGGATCTTCCATATCTTACAAGCAGAATCAATTGGTTTTGTTTTGTAACTTGTTCTTTATGGAAATTGATATGATTGTCTTACCTTGCTGTTACAGAAAAAATATGCCAAACCATTTTCTGTATGAACATCCGTGCTTTTTAATCATTTGGATTATCATCGGCTGTTAACATGACATCATCATTCATTACTGAAATATTCTTCTCTTGTGTTGTGAATCAAGCGCTAATCATGTGTTCTAAAGGAAGAGCATTGTGAACCTCTCAGTTGGGACTTTTGTTATATATATATATATATATATTGATGGAAGCTTTGTAAGCATGAAAGCATTCTAATCTATTTTGCGAACCATTTCACAGGTCTACAATGCTCTTGGTGTCAGTTACGTCCGGGACGGGAAGCTCGAGAAAGGAATCAGTCAATTCGAAACTGCTGTGAAGCTTCAACCAGGATATGTCACTGCATGGAACAATCTTGGCGACGCATATGAGAAGAAAAAAGACTATAAGCCTGCATTGAAAGCATTTGAGGAAGTGTTGCTTTTTGATCCTAATAATAGGATAGCACGTCCGAGGCGAGACGCGTTGAAGGATCGTGTTGAAATGTACAAAGGAGTTCCTATCAAATCAAAAGACAGATGAGTTTTGCACATTTTTGGATCTGAATTTTGGACCATCTGGTTGTTCAAACAATTCAACACCCAGAAAAATAAATTATGTCGGTTCTTTATATTACTATTCTGTTAAAATATCTATGCCTCCATACCTTCTTATACAGCAGGTTCCTTTTCATCTACCACGGCAAGAAAACTGTAATTTTAGATAATTTTATCACGACGTTCTACTCTAATTTATGAATATCGGTGATCTTTAAATAGTTTGGTTCTCTATTGTGTTTTGCTTGTTGATGTAATCAAATATGTCTATATTTATCTTTTGTTTGAGATTTCGGATAATTTTTTAACATTTTCCTTATACGGTGTTTATATAATCTCAAGTAATTAGTCTTTTGTGTAGACTGTTATAAGAATATATCTTAAATTTGTGTTTTGTTTATGTTTACGATTGTAAATTTTTTTGTAATTTTAGATTTTTTTTAACAAACTAATTGCTTTTATTTGCATAAAAATATAATTAAAATTTCATTTCCGAAAAAAAAACTAAAAAAAAAGTACAATAAAACCATGAAATATAGCCTTAAAATTTAAAGTCAAGGCTAACACCACATTACCTACAACAGCAGCGCTTGAGAAATTCTGGGAGATACAAAAGGGAGGCCCATTACATAAAAATTTGAACTCACCATATCTAATACAGTCTAATGGGGTCCAGCCATTGCGTCTCCAGAGTTGAGGGAAACTTGATTTTTGGGATTTGGGAGAGCAAATATTGCCAGCAATGCGCTAACGGCAGCCACAACAGAGCCCAACACAAAAGCCGGTAAGTTTCCGCCACCAAAAGCTGCATCCAGGGGTCCACTCACCACCGATATTGTCATCTGTCAAATTTCCCAATTAAACATTAAACTTTACAATCATAATCCAATTAAGCCTTCTTTTCTTGGATTTTGCTTAGCTTAAGGGAAAGGAATCATTTGTGTTTACCTGTGGAATAACTATTGACAAGTTTAGCACTCCCAACGACAGACCTATAACCATCCAATTTAGTTACCATATGTACAAGTATTTCATAGAATACTATAAATATCTCATTTTAAAATCAGATATTTAAATAAAAAAAATTGGGCCGTTAAAATAATTTTAAAAAAATTATAAATATGGTTAATGTATAAAAGTGGAACCTTAATGTAGCATAAGCATATCAGCTACACCAAGAATTAAACAGTACGTACCTTGACCGCCACCTGCATCACTGCAATATATGGATGCCAATGCGAATGGAATGCTAAATGTTACCTACATCCAACATCATCACTTTTTATTTATTCTTAAATTATTCAAATAATTTAATTAACTATATGAAAACTGTACATAAAAATATATATCATGAGTAGTTTACATAAAATTAATTGATGACTTAAAAGCTGTCATATGTCCTTGTATAAATATTAAAAAATTAATTAAAACTATATGTGTCTCGTATTTAATTCTATTTATGGGTCTTTTAACTTCACTGATGGGGCACTAATTTCAAAATTAAAAATATATAAATGAGAAACTAATAATGAATTAAGCAGTAACCGGATAAGATAAGGTGACGTGGTAAAAATACTTGATGAGTCATGTTGTAGGTGTGCTCGTGATTCCAAAAAAGAAATCACGAATAATTAGTTAAAAGCGTTTTCAGTACGTAGCATCACACATTTTATTATTTGTTCGACGGTAACATCAAGCATTAATGAAAGGGTTGTGGATAAGTGTGAGGTAAAATGAGAAAAAGAAACTAACCGCCAATGGAATACCCAGCAATCCAATCAGTGCCAAAGCAGAGCCTTTGACGTGGGTTGGTGGACTGGTCAAGATTTGTGGTCCCAGTTTACCCCTCCAACCCTCCGCCGCTTTGGTAACCCCCACCGTCCCAGCCAAGCAAGCAGCCAAAATGAAGTTGACCACCCCCCACAAATTCTTAACCCCACCCATCAACCGGCTAACTGGTTCCAGCCCCAACGACGTAAAAGCCAAAACGATCGAGTTTATCATCAACCCCAACGCACCCGCACGCACTCCTTGGTCGTACAGTTTTTGTTCATTCGCGCTTCCCTTCACGTTCCCTCCGTATACCTCCACTCCCATCCAATCGGTGTCGTACAACAGGAATGGGAACCAGGCAATCCAGTTTAGGCAAGTCACCAGGAGCAATATCCACATTGGTTTTTTCAGCTTCTTGAATGCCGTCACTAACTCTCCGATGAACGCTCCGGATGATTTTCCTTCGTCTCCGTCTAAAGCCTCCTTGTTGGTTAACGGCGTCTCTTTCACGGTGGAGATCGCGGTTATCGTCACCGACATGAGGAATAAAATGTCGATGAGGAAACAGGTTTTGAGGTTCGCGCAGTATACATCACAGGCTGTTGTTTCTGTGAACGGCAGAAGTTTGTGGAGGTTGGAAAATGAACCGGCTGCGTAACCCAGAACGTTTCCGATAGCCATGAAGAAAGAGAACCAACCATTAGCGATCCTCATTCTCTTATGATCGTCTCCGGAAAGGTCAGCGAGGAAAGCACGGCACGGACCTTGTAACATGTTGTTAGCGACATCGAGGATCCAAAAACCAGTAACGAAGATAGCCACCGCTCTAGGCTTAGTGGGATTGTTGAGTGAATCGCCTGCTCGGTGGCCTATGTCTTTGGCAAAGCCGATGAAGAAAACAGCGACGGCGACGAAACATGCTCCGGCGGCAATGAAAGGTCGGCGACGACCGAGACGAGAGGTGCAGTTGTCACTGCTGTAGCCCACGATGGGTTGAACGAGGAGGCCAGAGATGGGACCACAAAGCCAAATGAAAGCAGCCCAAACGTGAGGAACACCGAGGGTTTGAACGTAAGGGGTTAGAAGAGAAAGTTGCAGAGCCCAGCCAAACTGAATCCCGGCGGCAATGGCTGAAACCACCACGATATTCCATAGCGGTCTTGGGTTTCCGTTTTGACCCGTCTCCATGGCGCTGCTATTCACAATTCAATCTTTATTATGAGAGATAAATTCTACTGATGATTTGATTGAGAAGTGCAATGAAGATATAGAACTTGTATGTATGTATTTGGATGGTGTGAGCCCTCAATCATAAATAATACTCCTACTAAGAGTCTGGTCAAAAATATTTTTCAAACTAAATTTAAGTTTATAAAATTATACAATATTCACACTTACTGTCACACATGATAATGATTTTTATTTATTTTAAGGATTTATGTAATTATAAAAATAAAGATTGGTCTTTACTTAGTATGGGTTGAAGGTTAAATACTTATTTTATAGAAAAGTTATAAAATCTTATTTAAATTAAATTGATTGTATTTAGTGGTTTTTATTATTTTAATCTAAAGTTTTCCTACCTAATTTTGGTAAAAAATCTATAAGGGTAAGTAACAAACAAATCTTATATATTTCTTACCAAATGAAGCAAATTCTATTTTTGTAATTATCCGTTGAAATTATACAACAGTCAAGTTAAAACAAAGGATTTATATTTTTTATATAGTACAGGATGATTAGAATGTAATACATGTATTAAACTTTGTTAAGTAATTGATTACATAATGACGTACATACCATGCAAACATAATTGCTTAAATTCATGACCTTTAGAGATGATAATATTTCTCTTTATCACCAAAATCAATCCATGGATTTAGATTTATATACTTATAAATGTATATTTTATAAAAAATGTAATTTTTTTAAGCGAGGAAATTAATACCATATAAGCTCCTTGATAATTAAGTAAGATGAATTTTAAATATATGATATATATATCTGCTAGCTGTTGATCCATAAGAGTGCGGTCTTAACTCGCTAGTTTGATATAAGATTAAATTGGAGAATCCGGACGGTTAATTAGCACAAACTATTAACCAAGAAAGGGAAATGATAGAATTATTTTCATATAAATTTTAATTCTTAAATAAATTAATATATGTGATATTAAATTATAAAAAAATAGATATAGAAGTATACTTGAATCTATCTTTGAATATATAATGTTAAATATTGAATTTTATTTTGATCTTTTAAATTAATACACGTGTATTTTAGAGAAAACACTTATTGTTACGACGATGAAATATTAGAAAATTTAACGTATATATAAATTAAAAATCATATATATGATAAATAACCTAGTACATTAACTTTAATTTTTAATTGATAAATCATCAATTAAAAATTAATTAAATTAATTACTTGGATATCTATACATATGTGACTCATACTTTTTTTAAGGGTAAAGTATAGTAATGGTCATTGAACTTTTCTAAAACTTTCATTTAGGTCCCCTAACTTTTAAAACTTGCAATATAGTCCTCTAATAATTAGTCCGTTTTCAATAAGGTCCCCAACATTTAGTCTGTTTGCAATATGATCCCGACGTAACCGGTCGTTTGACGCCGTTAGTACGTTTGCAATATGACCACTGAACTTTTTAAGTGCTTGTATTTAGGTCCCCTAACTTTTAAAACTTGCAACACAATCCTTAATTTCATTCTAAACCTCAAATTCATTTTCGATCTCAAATTTCCCTTTTCGCTTCTCTCTTCTCATTTCTAGCTTAACTTTTCAGTCGGGGATGCATGGGAAATTCTAATCTAACTTTGAATTATGTGGAAGTATTGAATAAGGGTCCATTGAGAGAAGACCCAACCAAGGGACTATCAGGACCATCAACGATTCAAGGTGTAATGTTAGATACAGATAATCTCAAGTGAAGCATAGATGTTCGATGAAATGCTTGTGAGAAAAAAATGGGGTTAGAAATGCAGAGTTGACAAATACTACTAAGATGAACTAAGTATCATTGTTGAAAATCACTAACAAAGTTGGAATTATTTTGTATAAATGGCATATAATAATTTCTTCGTTTAATCCTTGTGGTTAAAGATTTTCCAATAGATGATCAAATATAATGACATCCCAAACAGTGCATTCACCTCTCAGTTTCTTTTGCAACTCAAAAGGCATCATTACAGGGTCAAGTAGCTGTTCCAAATATACTATCATGTCATGATGCCTTTCGAGTTGCATGCATAATTGTCTTCTAAAGCTATAATTCA